CGCCCGCTAGGCGGGTCGCTGGGAGAGAGTTGGCTTCCTCCCTCCCCTGACACTGGGGCGCCCCTGCCAACATTTTCGGTCCATTTGCCCTTCTCGCGGGGGCTTTTGGTGCGTCTGTGCGTTGGCGTGTTTTTGGTTTAAAACTGTGATGGCAGGGTTTGTTTGTTTTTTACTTGCTGGTTGTGTATTTCCGGGGGTAGATCTGAAAGCAGCCCTCTGGATTGTAACTAGGAGAGGCCTTAAAAAAAGAAAAAAAAAAGAAAAAAGCAGTGACTTTTGCAGCAGCTGAACGTTGGAAAAGTTGGCCCAGTGATTGCAAGTTTTAGATGAAGTTCTTCGAAGCGTAAAGGGGGCTTTAGGGTGTGTCCTTGCCCAGGTGTTAGGTTCTGCAGGGCCTTTGTAGAGCGGTTACAGGTGAGTAGATTGTACAGATGCTTTTTTAATGGTGGCGTTTGTACAGGGAGGAGGTTGATGGGAGGGAAAAGGAGCTGGAACCGTGTCGGATACATGCCGGCGGGTGGTTGGAAAGGGCCAGAAGTTGCTGACGGTGGAGTTGGGGCTGGAACCCACGCTCGCCCTACCCTCTGCTCGCTGGGTGTGTGGGATTCTGGGATGTACAGCTACCTGCTGCTCTGCCGGGCGCGGGGAGGCAGGCTTAGGGGAAACCGGCTGAACTGGGCCAGGACCCTGGTCTGGAGCCTCAGGACAAGCATTGATTTTGGGTGAGCGTTGTTTTGGGAATGCAGAGCGTTTGTACGCCTGTGCCTGGGTCCCGGGATGAAGTCCTTATGGAAATTCCATGCGGAGAGAGAGCGGGGAAAGTAGTTTATTGTGGTTCATGTGCCAACAGACCTTCAGGCCCTTGGAGATGGGGGAGGCTGGAAGGTGTGGACGGGTCCAGAGTTGAGGAAGGATTTCCCCTGGAAAAGGCCTGAGCTTGCGGGGTGTCCCTCCTCCATTCTTGGGCAGAGGGCGGCTCCTGGCGCCCTTGGAAGGGAACAGGACTCCATGGGTTTTGCATTTGAATGGGCTTTTTACACCTTCGGTGTTCTTGGTTATTTTAATTTTGTGTGTGTGGATGGGAGCTTGTGCCATCATCTCTGTTTGTGTACTTTTCTTAGAAAAAGCTCCTGGCGAAGGGGGGCAAAAAAAAGAAGCAGGTTCTGAAGTTTACGCTGGACTGCACCCACCCCGTAGAAGACGGAATCATGGACGCTGCCAACTTTGTAAGTTGTGCCCTGGATGCCAAGTCATGGGCTTTGGAGATGGTGCTGAGGAGGCCCCGGGGCCGCTCCAGCCTCTGGCTCTGCTGGAACTGGGGCGGGTCTGGGTGTTTCTCCGCCTGGATGTGCTTGTGCGTGTGCGTGTGCGTGTGCGTGTGTGTGTGTGTGTGTGTGTGTGTAACAGTTGTGACAAGGGGGACCTTAGCACATCTGTGCCAGAGAACTGCCTCCTTTTCTTGTTTTCCTCCTTTAGTGTCCAACGCGATTTTACTTAAAAGTTACCAGGAAGCAGGCAGACTTCCTCAGGTCACATCCCCCTTGCACTCCGGTGTGACTGAGCTTAAAGTGATAGACCGGATCCTCAGGGCCAGGGGCTGCCCGGGTCCTGGCCTGGCCCTGCCTGCTGGGCTGGGGGCAGCATCTCCTCAGGCTGCCCTGTCATCCAGGGTCAGAGCTTCGTGCTTGTGGGGAAATGTCCCGCGTGCTGACTTGTAATAGGAGCTTGGGTGTTTTAGTCTGTCTCTGTATTTGACCTTTTCCCCAGTAGTCCTCTATTTCACTTAAATATAGAAAAGCCAACCTTGCCCTGCCAGTGTTGCTCAGTGGTTGAGTGTTGACCCATGAATCAAGAGGTCACTGGATGATTCTCAGTCAGGGCACATGCCCAGGTTTGGGACTTGATCCCCAGGAGGGGGCGTGCAGGAGGCAGCAGATTCAGGATGCTTCTCTCTCCCTTCTCTAAAAATCAATAAAAACATTTAAAAGACAAACACCTCACTTTAATACTAGATAAGTGTGCCTAGGAAATGAGTTCTAATTCAGATTTCCTATAAGGAACCAGGTAGCAAAATGTGAAGACAAAGTGAAGGCACATCTCGAAAACGAGGAGACTGTTGAAACGCATGTGTATGAGTTCCATTGCGTGGGGACTATAAGGAGGAGAATGAAGACAGACAATCAGCGCTGCTGCTCCGACCCCGCAGCCTGGGGCTGGCATTTCTCTTCCCCCCGGAACTGCGCTTGGGGATCAGGCTTATTTTCTCCCTTCCCTCACTCACCTGTGTCTGGTTGTCTTTCCTTCTAGAAGTCTCCCTAGGATAGAAAACGTGAGTCACCTATGAGTCTAAGGTGCAGAAGTCAAGCGTTCTGACCTAATCACTTTCCTCATCAGTTTATTGTGCATTGGAGGTTTAAATAGAAGATTGTAGGAATTGCAGCTGAAAGGGACTTCATGTCATTGCAATAGAAAGAAAACCTAAAAACAAATAAGGTGGAAAAAGAGAACCAGAAAGAATCCTCCTTTTTGGAGAAAGACCCCTGAAGGTCCATGGGGCTTGCTGAGAGGTCTCCGGGCTCCTGGCCGCTGCCCCTCCTGTACCAGGCACGGGGCCCCGGAGCGGATCTGGGATTGTTTTGGTCACTATTTTTTTTTTAAATATATTTTATTGATTTTTTACAGAGAGGAAGGGAGAGGGATAGAGAGTTAGAAACATCAATGAGAGAGAAACATCGATCAGCTGCCTCCTGCACGCCCCCTACTGGGGATGTGCCTGCAACCAAGGTACATGCCCTTGACTGGAATTGAACCTGGGACCCTTCAGTCTGCAGGCCGACGCCCTATCCACTGAGCCAAACCGGCCAGGGCTTGGCCACTACTTTTTTGGGTTAATCATGATGTTTTTTCCATTGATTTTAGAGAGAGTGGAAGGGGGAGAGGAGAGAGAAATATCCATGTGAGAGAGCCACATCAATTGGTTGCCTCCCCAGTGGGTCCCGCCTGGGCGGGGAACCTGCAACCAAGTAGTGTGCCCTTGACCGGAATCAAACCTGGACCCTTTGGTTTGGGGCAGACGCTCTAACCACTGAGCACACTGGCCACGGTATCACTGTGTTTGCTCCTTGGACTAGGTTGCTGAGGACAGTGCTTCGTGCTCCTTAGGTTCCGAAGTTGCGTGTAGCTTTGGTTGCCTGCACCAGCCTTGCAGCAGTTGGGCCTGGCTTTCCCGTCTACTCGATCTCTGACCCCTGAGTCAGTGTCTTCCATGTGGACACACATTTGATCTTGTGTGGAACCAGTCAAGTATGTCCATGCTAGGATTTTGATTTCATATTAGACTTGTAAATAAAGTTGAATAGTGCTATTTTAAAAAAGATGAGAGAGAGAGAGAGAGAGAGAAACCTCAATTGGTTGCCTCCACACACGCTCCGTCGGGTAATGGAATCCACCACCGTTTAGTGTACAGGACAATACTTCAGCCAAGTGGGCCCCACTGACCAGGACGACAGTGCTGTTTTCTCGCCGTCAGATTTTAGGCCCTGTGTTAACAGCTGACGATGTGCTGCCATTTTCTAAAAAAATATATTTTATTGATTTTTTACAGAGAGGAAGGGAGAGGGATAGAGAGAAACATCGACTAGAGAGAAACATCGATCAGCTGCCTCCTGCATGCCCCCTACCGGGGATGTGCCCACAACCAAGGTACATGCCCCTGACCGGAATCGAACCTGGGACCCTTGAGTCCGCAGGCCGACGCTCTATCCACTGAGCCAGACCAGTTAGGACTGTGCTGCCATTTTTTACCGAAGTGTGAGCATTGAGGAACGACTCCGTAAGCGCAGCAGTCTGGTGCGAGGGGTGAAGTTGCCACTTTGCTAACCGGTCAATGGGATGATTTTACAGGAGCAGTTTCTTCAGGAGAGAATCAAAGTGAACGGAAAAGCTGGGAATCTCGGCGGAGGGGTGGTGACCATTGAAAGAAGCAAGAGTAAGATCACTGTAACGTCCGAGGTGCCTTTTTCCAAAAGGTAGGGGGGCTGCGTGCTACTTGCCTGCGCCCAGCAGGAAGACTCCTGCCCCAGGACTGGAGGGTGGGTCTCATTATTCTGCGAACTGGAGCAGTGAATGAACGAATGCTGCTATGATAGGTAAAAGTATTCAACTTTTTGGTAGCATTTCAGGCACTAAAGAGAGGCAGACTTGGGTAGGTTGCATTCTCCAAGATGGCATTGCTCTGCTCCCTCTAGGCCTCAGTGAAGAGCTTTCCATTTTAATTCCATGTTTTTCTATCTGTAAATATTATAATTGTACGAGGAATCTGAAATTTCAGGGTTTTTTTAGACAGGAAGTGAGAGGAGAGACAGACAAACATCATTGTGCGAAACATCAATCTGTTGCCTCCTGTAGGCATCCCGGCTGGGCATGGCACCCCCGGCCTGGGCATTGCCCTGACCAGGAATCAAACCCTCGACTTTCTGGTGCGCACGGCAATGCTCCAACAGCCATCTGGCCAGGGCTATCTGGTTATTGCTTTGAGGATGAAGTTAAAACACTACAAATTGCTAAAATTGAACATGTTTATACGCAGCTCCTAGCCCAGAGCC